TAAAAGGGCCAAAAGGCCAAAGGACTGGCCCAATCCAGCCAGCTAGCCAGCCCCGGACTGGCCATGAATGCTAGGCCAAATTTTCAAATGCAACGGCTAGCAGCTAGCCGTTATTTTTTATTTTTTATTTTTACAGTTTTACTTATTTTTTTTTTTACAAAATTTTTTTTCCTATAACTTCTATTTTACAAAATTTGTTTCATATATTTTTTTAAATTCTATTTTTTTCCTATAACTTCTATTTTACAAAATTTGTTTCATATTTTTTTAAAATTCTATTTTTTTTCCTATAACTTCTATTTTACAAAATTTATTTCATATTTTTTTTTAAATTCTATTTTTTTCCTATAACTTCCTAAGCCGTTATACAATATGAAATTAAATTAAGTACCATGAAACAACATTAAACAATATGAAACAACATTAAATAACATTAACCAACATAAAAATTATACAAAATAAAAAAACATTTAACAACATGAAACTTAAACAACATTTTAAAAACATTTAACAACATAAAACTTAAACGCCTACTCCATGTTTCTTTTGGCCCAAAGATGTGCAACAAGATCCTGTTGTAACTTGTAGGTACTTGTTTATGGCACGGGAACATATCATTCTATAGCGCCTCATGTACTCATTTATAGATATACTACCGGTTCTTGGATTGAATGGCAAATTAGGCCCATCATATATTTTTGCACAAGCCCTTCTTGACCTATTTGGATCTTCTCGGTCGTCATCGGACTCTCCATCAATATACCCATCTCGCTCATCCTCCACTATCCTATTGTGTAATATGATGCAAGACATCATGATGGAGTCCAAATTTTCTCGACTCCACACTCTTGCCAGTTCACTAATGATATTCCACCGTGCTTGTAGAATACCGAAAGCTCTCTCAACATCTTTCTGGTATGCCTCTTAGTGTAAGGTAAACAACTTTTCTGTGTTATTCGTAGGGTTTGGAATTGCTTTGATAAGTGTCGCCCACTTTGGGTAGATGCCATCTGCCAAGTAATACCCCATATTGTATTGACGACCATTGATGTAGTAGTCAAGTTGAGGTGTTTTACCTTCCGTCAGGCGATTAAAAAGGGGTAAACACCCAAAAACTGTAATGTCATTTTGGGATCCAGGGACTCCAAAGAAAGCATGTTAGATCCATGTGTCATATGAGGCAACTGCCTTTAACACAATAGTTGCCTTTCTCGACCTTCCGCAGAAGCCTCTTTGCAATACGGTGGGACAGTTCTTTCAATCCCAATGCATGCAGTCTAATGACCCTATCATGCCCGGAAACCCACGATCTTCAGCTTTGCGAATGAGCAGATTTAGATCTTCTTGATTTGGCTCGCAGATGTACTCGTCTTTGTAAACTTAAACAATTGTGTCACATAATTGTTCAAGAGTATCAAGGCATGTAGACTCAGACATACCATGGGTTTCATCCATCGAATTAGCTGGGGAGCCATAAGTCATCATTCAGAGTGCAACAGTAACCTTCTGATGAGGTGAGAAACCAGGGTAGCCTGCTTTGTCCCGCTTCTGTCGAAAGTATAGATTGACCTGCTGGACATCACGAAGTAAACGCTCGAAGACATGACGCCTCATGCGGAAGCAACGTCTGAAATCCTCTTTTGTGTACACCAGGTTGGTGTTGAAGTAGTTGTTCATCAGATTGGCATGCCTTATCTCTCTGTTTTGTGGTTTGTAAGAGCAACCAGCAACAAAACCACCCCATTGAGGTTGTTCCTCAGTTGGTTGACACACCATGGCCGCAGCCATGGTTGCTGCTCTGTTTTGTTTGTTTCGCCTTACTTGAACTTCTTCATCAGGCTTCTCATCTTCTCATCTCATTTGCGCCCATTTTTCTTCCAATTTGGAATTAGATGAGGACCCCCAGTTGGAATCCGAAGAGGATCCAAAGTTGGAATTCATTGCAAACTTGAATTGAAAGAGATTGAATTGAAATAGATTGAATTCAAAGTTGTGAATTATAGCCAATATCCACCCTATTTATAGAAAAATAAATTCAAATCCAACGGCTAGCTGACGTCACCTAGCCGTTGGATTTGAATTTAAGTTGTAGGTTTTAAATAATAAATTGTATTTGGCCCTATGACCCTTTGACCCTCGGTTAAAGACAGTTTTTTGTGACAGGGCTAAAACGAGCCATATGGCCCTCGGTTGGAGATGGAGGCAAATATGGCCTTGTACTGTTCATTAAAATATTAATATCTTGGTGGGCCAGAGGTCTAAAATGAGTTCTCTGACCAGCCATCGGTTGGAGATGACCTAAATAGCAAGCTGATCAGCAAAAATGAGTTTAGAGAACATATGCCCTCCGGTTAATTTTTCTTATTGTAGTTAATAAGTCACAATCAGACATAATTAACACATCGTCAATTGTACTTAACTTACATAAGTTGACTACCAGGGTGTGAGTATGAGACAAAACCTTTAACAATATTTTTCCATCAAACCCTTTAGAATAGGCAATGACAACAGGGTCAAATTAATGGCACCAACTTACTCTTTTAAAAAATGGAGATGAGAGGGTTGGTGATTGCAACCCTTGTACAGAACGACGAGATGGGAGAGGAAGCATCTTTATAAGGCTCGGCACATGCCACACTTGGCTGTAACTGCACCGTTGAAAAAAATGAACTGTCAGTTTTTCTCCTTATTTCTACCAAGCCCATAAATTTGTGTATTGGCACGTCCTAATAGTATCAAAACTCGGAGCTTGACTGGGTTCAACACTTATTTATCTTGAGTGTTGTTTTTTGGTTTTAGTGTTATAAAATGGCTCGGGAGAAAAAGAGAATAGGTGTTCCACTGTTGGAGGTTGCCAACAAACAATAGTGTATAGAATTGTGTTATGCTTGTGCGTTGATTTGACTTCTTGACCAAAGGATTGTGCATCAAATGAGACCAATGGTTCGGTTAAGTTTTTTTTATTATGCCTTGAGTGAACGATGACGTGAAGCCAATGCAAAATAAGTGCATGCCTAAGTAATAACTAAAAATGAAAGTAGAAATGAAAATAAAGGCGGGGAACTAGATGTAATCATTTTTTGATGTAATTGAGATTACAAACGTTTACAAAAGTAATTCTAGGCTAATGAGCCAATCTACGTGACTTGAAAATTAGATAGACTAAACATTAAACTCTAGCGAGATTCATGCATGTTAGGCCAAGATAATGCTAGAGGAGTCCATCGAGGTCACTACTATTGGACTGGACTAAAAAGGAAACATTGCGATCAAATAGGTGATCATGGTGGTTGGAATTGCACATCAACCAAATCATACTAGGGGTGACAGAGTTGTAAAAGTTTTACATTTCAGGGATCGTAGGCAGTGTTTGCTTTGAAGGAAGGCTTTGAGATTATACTAGAAAAGCTACTGAAGAGCAATTTGGGTTGTGCTGAAAAGCAGTTGGGTTGATTAATTGGAGAATCACTTGAGGTTTGTATAATCGTAAAGATTGATTTTGACAAAGATCCTCATCTTGTAGGCCTTTGACTCTATTTACAGGTAGTGGAGAAGAAGCAATTGATGCGTTTTAAATAACTACTATTCTTGGTTGGTGGCATTCAACTGTGTCCTATGGCATTTTGCACAATTGATGCGGTGATATTAATCTCTCAGATGCCGCGTTCATTGACATTTAAGGAGGTGAGATATTCTCGGATTTGTTCGTCTATGTGATAGGTGCTCTTCGAGGAAGTTTAAGTCCAAGCCATCAGACATGTGTGAAGTGAAATCGGTGTCGTCCAAGCTCTAGGATAGAATTCTTGATGGGGCTTAGAAGTTGGTGGACCGGAGTCGTATAACTTTGTGTGAACAAAAATATATTATCCCCATAACATGTCTTATTTTATTTATGGCCCAATAACGTCCAAATTGTTTAATCTCATGCGTTTATTTTTCTCGATTTCACCTCATGCGAGCAAAAAGACTGGCACATTGATCATATACCCCCTACAGCTAAGTCTCCTTAGGCATGTTGCTCCCTGTTACATGGTCGCACTAGCACTTGCACCATAAATTTGAAAATATAGGTGATGTTGCTACATAGGTTGGTAGTGATGGTGTAGAACAATATCAATAGAAGGAAGATGTGGCAATAGTCTCCGTGGTGGTGAATGATTCTTTGATTGTTATTGCATATTTGAGCATAAGCAACTACGCACCCATAACACTATTCGCTCTTGCACGTCAATTTTCCTTGTAAAGTGAAAGTAAGGCACGTGTAGTTGTTGACAAAGAAAACAAAGGTAACCAAGATGATATACCTCGATGTTTTCCATAAAGATTTGAATTCTCGGATGTGTAAGATTTAGTACGTTTCATTTTTTGGTGGTTAAGTCGACGTGATGATGGTTTATATCATACTTTTTGTGGTTGTTGCAAGAGATCCGTTTGTCTCTTAAAGCAAGAGGACCAAAATTGACTTATTGTTTATGCATGTGCATGTCAACGGTAAAATGTTACGAATATGCATGCATGGTTGGGCTAAGAAGCACCGACATGATTCCCAAATTATATGTGCACCAACCCCTCTTTGAAAATCATGTATAACAATTTATTAACAATTTAATTAGCTTTAAAGGGTGGATCAAGGAGAAGTATAAGCCAATAAGAGTAGGTTAAAGGAATCTTATCCTTGTAACAAAGCTAAAAGTGGAAAAAACGATTCAATTGTACTCAACCTGCAACATTTTATTTAGATGGGGACTGAATCATCCAAATCTCATTAATATCCTCTCTATCATTCTCTTTAATTCCCAGTACAAACTTTGCTGTTATTTCACTCATTAATCTATTTTTACTAACGCATGTTATAGAACTGCAGAATTTATAACCTTGCCCTTCATATTTTTCTGCAGTTTATACTCGATCGTTGATATATTGTGAATGTTGGGAAATAACTTGAGTGTCACTAGTCAAGCGTGGCACCATTTAAGCATACATCATTTGAGGTTATAAGGTCGGTGCAAACATGTTAATATATATATAAAAGAAAGAGACATGCATGCCTCGATTAAAGGTTATCGACTATGGAACATACATACATACAAGAACCCACAGACGCAGCTTACTCATGTTTTCCTCAAACACTCGACATACATACACTGGGCGACAAAAGTTTTTATTCTTAATTTACTGAGCTACCCTGATTTGGTGGATCACTTCAGTTTCCTTTCTATGGCTAGAATTAATAACCACCGCCATGGCTACCACTGCTGCCACTACCGTATCCACCACTGCCACCACTGCCACCACCTTTACCACCTTGATGCCCACCACTGCCACCGCCTCTACCACCTCCGCCTCCACCTTTTCCACCTCCATGGCCGCTGCCAGCTCCTCCTTTACCACCTCCTTGTCCTTGACCGTCTCCACTACCACCACCATATCCACCTCCTTGGCCACCTCCGCCTCCACCTTTTCCACCTCCATGGCCGCTACCACCTCCTTGTCCTTGACCACCACCGCTTCCACCTCCGCCTTTTCCACCTCCGTGACCACTGCCACCTCCTCCTTTACCTCCTCGTCCTTGACCTCCACCGCCCTTACCCCCACCACCATATCCACCACCTCCTCCTCCTTGTCCGCCACCACCTCCTTTACCACCACCTTGGCCACCTCCACTTCCTCCTTGTCCACCACCACCTTTACCGCCTCCATATCCACTACCCCCTCCTCCACCGCCACCGCCTTTTCCACCGCCTTGTCCACCACCACTGCCTCCTCCTTTACCACCACCCCCTTGTCCGCCGCCGTGGCTGCCTCCTTGACCACCTCCTTGTCCACCCTCTTGTCCACCGGCCCCTTTACCACCCCCTTGTCCACCGGCTCCTTTACCACCCCCTTGTCCACCGCTGTGGCTGCCTCCTTGACCACCTCCTTGTCCACCGCCACCGTATCCACCTCCACCTTTTCCACCCCCTTGTCCTCCTCCATATCCAGTACCACCACCAACTTGACCCCCTCCTTGTCCTCCACCACCGATAGTTTGAACACCATTTTTACCTCCATGCCCACCGTGATGCCCAGGGCGTTGATGGTTAATGTCCTCTAAACAAATGAAATTCATTGCAAGAATATGATCATCTTGTTTTAAGCATTGAAATAGATAAAATTAATCCAAATACTATAATAATGGGAAAGAAAATTTCATAAGGTTTACTTACGTGTTTCTAGTGTGGCTTCTTCAGTTTTAGGGTTAGCAGCGTAGCTAGCACACCTACCACGTCGACCGAAGCCCTGGTAATGAATGCAATCGTCTACCGTCTTGTCTTCCCCATTTCCTGCGCAAGTCATATATGTACTGATCAGTGAACTAGTATTTAAAACCTGATCAGTGAACTAGTATTTAAAACCCTAAATATGCATGCAATTTAGGAATTAACCATGAGAATATTTTTCTTAAGAAAAAAATTATTTACGTCATGCAATAATCAACTTCTGCCAATCATCTTGCATAACCATTTTTACACTAGAATTTTATAACCATCTTCTTTTATTTTATTTTTATTTTTTATTTTTTATTTTCTTTTCACTTATTCGTCAAATATAAACATGCAGTAAGAAATGTAATAAATTGGATTTGGTGTTTGAAAATCTTGAAAAGAGGATACTAAAATACTGTTAGTGTAAGTTCCACCATAAAAATAATAGTTGTACGAAAAATAGTTCAAATTACGTATTAATTAGTATGCAAAGTTTGAAAAGCTTATAACGTGAGACATTTTATGATGCGAGACATTTCATGCAGCTGCGAACGTTAAACCAAAGAAATGAAAGAACAAAAGGAAAATAATATGCATGGAAGGTGATGATCATGGATATGATGAGAAACCTTTGGTCTCATGATCCTGAGGCACTACTTGAGCACCCACAGAAGAAAAAATGAGAACGAGCGCAAGCAGCTGCAGGCGCAGGAAACGATTCATTTTTTTCTTCACAAACATAATACTCACAAAACCACACTCAGAAGGAAATGTCTCTATGGATGGAGATCTTTGAGAACTCCAATGCTTTTTCCAGGCTTTTGCTTGGCTTTATTTATATTGCAGGAGGAGTAGTAAAATACGAAACCGCCATTAAATTGGGTAGATGGGATGAGAACAGAGATCTGAACACTTAGATAGTTACTTGGCTACTGAAAAGGTTGGCACATAGGCTTTGTGCATGTGCCTGTCTCAGTTATCACTTCATCTGGATCGAAAGAGTGTAAAAAGAGACACGTGTTTGAGCTCAGCAGAGAGGGTTTGTGTTGGCATGTGGCCTCCCGAGTTCACAGAGTTTTCGAGACTTAATTTGTGTTCAGTCGGTTAGTGCAGAAGAATAGGAATATTCAAGCAATTCAACAACTTGAGTAACTTATAATTATAATAGACTTAGCTGTATTTATTGAGTAATAGACTTAGCTGAACTTATAGGATTATAATTGTATTAGGATATAGAGAACCATTATCAGATACCCTAATCGTTTCGTAGACATTGTTGGAGGGTTGCAATAGTTTACTCGTCCAAGTTTGGCCCTTGCAGTTCATAATTTCCTAGTTGTTCAACAGATGTGAGATTTATAGTCACAACAAGCATTTTTACTTCGATGAATTTTCAAACTTAATACTTGAACAATACTTTGCAAATAGAAACGTGAGGTTATTGAGCTTCACAAACAGATCACTCACCGAAGCTGAATATCGGGCTTTACATAAAACATGTGAATTGCACTACTTTTGTCAGTTGTGTGTGTTGAGGAAAAAACTTAGAATACACAACTCTAACACAAGTGTTGGAGAGACAACACAAGTAAACAAATTACTTGTATTACACACACAAAATATTACAACACTCAGAAGGACACAACTTTAGAAGCAATGACACTCACTCACTTTCTAGAGACACACTCTAAATCACTCACACTCCTACAAGACTATTCTTGCTTCTCACTCACTTGGTTGCCTACTACTACTACTTGATTTCTTGATTGGTTACTTACTTGCATTACAACACACATACATACATATTTATAGGCATGTTTGCCGACATACTAAGTCGGTTAACATTGCTCAAATTCATCCTAGACACAAACTTAGTTATTCTAGATTATTCCAGCCTAATAAGTCGGTGGACTTGCTTTTCCACCCAAACACTAATTGCTACACTTTGTTAGAGTTTTCTAGCATATTCTTAATATGCATGCACCTTTTATACATGCACCACTGACTAAACAACTTGCTAGAATTATCTAGCAATTTCCAGCATACATCGACCCTTCAATGTTACTTGCTAGAATCTTCTAGCACAATTCCTTGCATGTTTGGACTAGAATGATTTAGTTCCTTTATACCGACTGATCTTAATGGGCTGGTGTTGATCTTTAACACTCCCCCTCAACACCAACTTATTCTTTTCTTCTCGCTGAGTCGACACTTTATCTTGAACACCCATTTGCATGATATGAGTTTCACATCTCTTGGCCTTGCCACTGGATCCCAAGTTTGATATTTCTTTAACGCAACGTCCTCTTCTCCTAGCTTTACGCTACTCAGAATTATGTAATGCTTCTTTATGCATCTCAGCTTCAACTGCTTCTTTTACTATGGTTGCGTTGGCGCATTTGGGATTCGACTTCAGTATTCCTGTTGACCTCCTTAGTTGTGATCGTGGAAACGATACTTCCACTTCACTAGGTTTAACTTCTTCAGTTTGCCAATGACTCTTAGGTACTTCTTGCTTGACATCGTCACCATCAAGCAATTCCTCGAGCTCATCTAGACTCGTTTGGGTTTGGGCAGCTTGGTCTCCCATTTCCTCCTGCAACGTATCCTCAATCTCTCTTGAGTCAGGGAACACCTCATTTTTTGAGCACCACCAAGAAGATGCTTCAGCGTCCCATTCTTCCTCCACAGCTAGATATGCTACGGCGTCCCAGTCATCTTCACTTTTATTCTCTGAGTTGGCAACATTACTCTCTGCGGGCTTTTTGAACCAGCAATCCTTTGCCATGTGGCCATTCTTTCCACAATTGTAACATTTTCCCTCAAACCTTTTATTGTTCTGAGACTGACCACGGTTGCCGTGATACATTGGAGCTCCCCCTCGCTGAGAACTCCCTTCCTTCTGGTGACCTTTCTCCTTATCACAAATTTCTTGTAGACCCACCATCAACATGCTGCTTAAAGCTACCTTTACTTTTGGTGTAGAGCGCTTCCTCCTCACCTCTTAATGAGACCCCTCCCATTTGCTTTGCCAAAACTTCTTGATCTGCAAGCAAATTTTCAAACTCAACAAGTGATGGTTGTGTTGGCCATCCCTGTATAGTGGCAATGAACCCTCGATATTCGGGTCTCAAACCATGGATAATTATTCTCTTCATCCTGGTTTCCCCAATAGGAGCTGTTGGATCTAACTCTGAAATTTCGCAGCATATCGACTTCACCTTGTGAAAGTACTGGGCAATCGTCATGTCGCGTTGCGCCATCGATAGCAACTATTTCTCGAGAAGTTGCAGTCTTGTATCATTCTTTTTTGAAAAGAGTGTAACAAAAGTGTCCCATGCTTCCTTTGGCGTTTTGGCATCCAGGATGTGCTCCAACATTTCTTCTTCAATTGTGGTCTTTAAAGCAAACATCGCTTTGCCTGCTTTAATTTTCCACTTTCGCAAGATGCCATTGGCATCTTCTGCCGCCGGTTGTGTAACCTCACCACCACCGACAACCTCCCAAAGGTCCTGACCTTGTAAGTAAGAATCCATACATGTTGCCCACGTATTGTAGTTTTTGTTGTTGAGCTTCTTGATTCCTCCAACTACTTGAAGGTCACCCATCGTGCCGGCAAGACTTCGGCTATACCGATCAAGCTTGACTAACAAACTTGCAGAGTACCAAACTCCTCATGACTCAAGATAGCTCCACCAAGAACGATCCCTGACCGTCCCGCTCTGATACCAATTGTTGAGGAAAAAACTTAGAGTACACAACTCTAACACAAGTGTTGGAGAGACAACACAAGTAAACAAATTACTTGTATTACACACACAAAATATTACAACACTCACAAGGACACAACTTTAGAAGCAATGACACTCACTCACTTTCTAGAGACACACTCTAGATCACTCACACTCCTACAAGACTATTCTTGCTTCTCACTCACTTGGTTGCCTACTACTACTACTTGATTTCTTGATTGGTTACTTACTTGCATTACAACACACATACATACATATTTATAGGCATGTTTGCCGACTTACTAAGTCGGTTAACATTGCTCAAATTCATCCTAGACACAAACTTAGTTATTCTAGATTATTCCAGCCTAATAAGTCGGTGGACTTGCTTTTCCACCCAAACACTAATTGCTACACTTTGTTAGAGTTTTCTAGCATATTCTTAATATGCATGCACCTTTTATACATGCACCACTGACTAAACAACTTGCTAGAATTATCTAGCAATTTCCAGCATACATTGGCCCTTCAATGTTACTTGCTAGAATCTTCTAGCACAATTCCATGCATGTTTGGACTAGAATGATTTAGTTGCTTATACTGACTGATCTTAATGGGCTGGTGTTGATCTTTAACAGTGTGATCTACTTTTGTATCTTGACATGCCACCTATTTTGTAGTGTGATAACATCTCCACAATTTGACTTTCTCACAACCGTCTTTCATGGCAGGACCAAACACGCAGAGGTTGATCTCCATTTTAGGGTTTAAGTGTTGGACAGGTGTGATAAATTATATATTGTCAGCTGTGGATACTTCATAATTAGTTAACTAATTGTAATTATTAGCTATTAGTGAGCTCATTTACTAGATTCCGTTCATTCATCTTGCGTCTGCTTCATTACCGAAACTTGGCCTTTTTCATTGCAACTAAAAAGAAGAGATGAGAAAACGTAAACTTTCTTTTTTCTTTTTTTCATATATTTTTTTCCAAACCAGGTTGTCAAAAGTTGAAGCGGCGACATCATTTTATGAAGCCTAAAAATTAAAGGTGATCCATTTATTTTGTGCATGCACTGGGTGGTCTGCTTTTGTTATTAGTGTACTATTGTTTTTTCATTCTTCTTTTTCCCTTAAAATGTTAAAGAACTGCAGCAATTGTAATTTCATCGTTATTTTTTAAATTTATTTGTAATGCAGTCAAGTTTCACTGCATGAATCCCATTAAACACTGAACTGATATTTCCTTTTCCATGACAAGGTGTATCGCCATGAAGCCTGAAGGTGGTGGCAATTTTGAACTAATTAAGAAAATTGAATGGAAGGTGAAATTGTTTTGTACGAATTAATTTATACTCGAAAGACGTTTAATTATCAGATTCCATCAGCATATAGCACATAGAAAAGCAAAAACATTAGAAAGAGTGCTATAATGTATGTAATGCTTCATTTAACATAGCGGATCTGTTAGTGTGATTTGAATTTATCTGGGTTATACGATATGGAAATAGAGAGAGAATAGAGGGATGCAAAAAAAAATGGAAAAGGAACGAAAGTTCTCTCTTCTCTGCAGAAGTTGCAGAGAGGAATATATTTCTCTCTATATCAAAATTGAGCAGACACGTGCATTTCATGACCATTTTACCTTAGCTGGATCCACGCACATCACACTTGATCTCAGCCACACATTTAGCTAATTTATAGGATCACTATACATGGCTATTTTAGCCTTACATCTTTTGACCTCACACTTGGCAGATATGCTCAAGTGAATACACAAATAAACTCATCTTATTTCACTGATACTAATCAGCTATAGACTTATAATTCAACACTCCCCTTTACGTCTTGAGCTGATTTCACTACGAGCATATTCCTGAGATAGTTGAAATGATCCTTAGCCAAAGGTTTTGTGAAAATATTTGCTAGCTGCTTTTTAGTGGGACAATACACCAAATCAATGATTCCTTCCTACAGTGCATCCTTAATAAAATGATACCTTCTATCAATGTGCTTGGTCTTTTGATAGAACACATAATTCTTTGTGATAGCAATGGCAGAAGTGTTATCACAGTAAAGAAGAGTAGCTACAGTTT